TATTCTTTTTAACAATAGATTAGTTAGTCTTAGTTTACCAGTGGTGTTTGCGCATTCCTTATTGGATGACTGATTTCTTCTTTTCTTTCGACCGAAATCTGGTTCAATTAAAAGTTATTTCCAAGCCGCAAAAGAAATTGTATTATAGACTTAGCAGCGTCAACAGTTGTAGTAGTAGTATTAGATGCGAATTTAGGGGGGTGCTGAGGAGCGGAGGTTCTCTCCTTTCTTAAGGGCATGACCCCTTCACCAAACAAAGGGTCCCGCCTTTGTAATTTTTTATAACTTTCATTTTCGGCCGACCAAGCTAAAAGATTGAAAATTTTTATAATGTTGCCTTTGGCTCCAATACACACAATTTTTAAAGAGGACCGTACGCCGAAGAAACGCGCGTCAAAATTATCCAAAAAAATTCCAAAAAAGGTCTTTTTTGTATTTTGGGAGCGCTCAGAAAATCAATTTAGTCGGCCGAAAAAATGTTGAAAAAATTTTAGAACTTTTTCGAAACCCCCACGAGAAACTCCTAGATCCACCACTGGGTTTCTTTGTCAGTTTGTTGATAGTGAGCGCCGTACATAATCGTTGTTTTTGAACATAATCTTTGTTTTATCAAAATTAAATGAAAAAATGAACTTGTTGACCTTATCCCACATTTGACGTTTTGCATCAGCATACTATTACTCAGGGGCGGATCTAGGATTTTCTCGAATGAGGGGCTTTCAAAAAAATTGTTAAGTATCTTCAACATTTTTCCGGCCAACCAAATTGATTTTCTGAGCGCTCCCAGAACACAAAAAAGACCCTTTTTGGAAATTTTGACAAGAGTTTTTTCGGCGCGCGGTTCTTTTTAAAATTAGTATATACTTGAGCCAAAGGCGATATCATAAAAATTTTTCGCTTGGTCAGCCGAAATTGAATGTCATAAAATAATACAAAGGCGGGACCCTTTGGTTGGTGAAGGGGCCAAATCCTTAAGAATATTTTGACGACCTTTTTTTAGATCGACCAAACTGATTATCGGAGCTCTCCTAAAGCACTAAAAAGACGCTGTTTTGGCCAAATTTTCTACAAAAAAAAACAGGTCAAAAAACTTGACAAAAAAATCGCGTTTTTTTTTTTGGCGCGCGCTCCTCCTCAAAGTTAGTATTTATTGGCGCCGAAGGCGCCTTTTGATCAATTTTGGGGTCCGTCACCAAAAATGAATTTCTTTTGAGTCGGCAAAGGGTCGGATCCCTGAGAGAAGGAAGGCAAACGCTCCCCAATCCTCCCCCCCCCCCCCCTAAATCCGCCCCTGAATATAACTGAAGAAAAACTTTTAGTAAAATCCATTTTGCAAAAAGTGTAGTGGGTCAATGAAAAACGAGCACAAACAGTTAATATGCAAAAAAAATCCTGTTCGGGTTGAGAGAGGGACGCAAAAGTAAAAAAGTACAAACTACCATTGGCCCTATCAAAGAATAAAATTGTTTTTGTTTGCTATATCAGCTTAAAATTAATCAAATGAAGAGTGAAATTTGTAAATATTTCATCAATATCGATTGAAAGGGCTTCAATATGAAATTTCGCTCGTTCCCATTTGGCGTTTATTTGTGGTACCTGAACCTATGATTTTGCGGGGCAAAAAAATTATAAATAAAAATCTAAGGATCATGTTAACTATCCCCCCCCCCCTATAGTACCTTTTGTAAAGAATCACCCCCCCCCCCTTTTTAAAACACATTTAATCTATGCTCAACTGGTTTGGTTTTGTATTTCTCAGAAGTGTGTATATGTTCTGTCGCTTTCCTATTGGTTGACGTTATTTCAATTCGCATTCCTTTTGGTTGACGTTACTTCAATAAGTTTCATCAAAACCTTGTTAACTATTTCTCACCCTATTGCCTTATTGCAATAGGGGGTGGGGGGAATAGTTAACATGATCCAAAGCTAAAACAGTCGAATACCATATATCTTCATATTTCGTAGTCAGATCAGAATGACAAGAATCTGACCCAGAAACTTATTTTCAAGTGTACCTGACTCATCTCTTGCTTAACATCCACTATTTCGTGGAACAGTAAGGTCTCGATTGCTTTCGGATCTCCTCTCGAGAACATCTCAATGAAACAAGGCCAAAAACTATTTCTCACAGCATCATCTCTGGCCTCTTTGGAAGCGCCATACATCTGCATTTCAGGTGACCACATGATTATCTAACAATTTATTGGCCAAACTTTGAGGGAAATTGTTACGACAGAAGAACCAAATGACAGAAAAACATAAAAATCAATCAGCCGTCAGTATTGAAAAAGTTGAAAGAAAAATCACATTTCAGTCAGAGTTTTACACAATTTAAAGTCATTTGACTGGCGAAAAAATTTCGACCGTTTGTGCCTTCATGCCGTAAGAGGAAGCGGAGCAAAAAACAGAATGGTCCAACCCCAGAATGGGTCCATGAGCAGAAAAACAGAAAAATATTGACTTAAATTGGTTTATATGGGCTAATTGACAAAACAATTATTAGAATCGTCAAAAAATACCAAAAAAAACGATTAATTTATGCATGAATTGACTAATTTCTGAAGGTTTCGATTCGTCTGAAGTCATATCCAATAGATAATTTGTGTATAGATAAATTTTTGTACATAACCCCAATTGTACAGTAAACTTAATCTTGTCTGTATATATCTGTATGAATTGTATGTGGCCTGTAAATTATTACCAAATGCATCTCCGTGTACACTTGTATACCTTCTTTATATTCCATGGTGTGCAGTAAGTAGGTTACTTTTTGTTTTTTAACTTCGTTACCTGTGGGGTGAAGGCGGAAAAGAGTTTGTTCGTAATTGAGCTACTTTGCTTATTTGCAGACACAAAGTTTTCCTGCTTTGGGGAATGTTACGACTGTGCTCTTATTTCTTTATAAACTTGACTTTTTGTTCTTAATTAAATTCCTGCTTGCCACGTCTATTCGAAGTTTTTTGGACTTCGCATCACTTTTCGATTGAAATAAAGAAAAGCAGTTTTGATTCAAACATCCTATTTTATTCTTTTTAACAATAGATTAGTTAGTCTTAGTTTACCAGTGGTGTTTGCGCATTTCTTATTGGATGACTGATTTTTTCTTTTCTTTCGACCGAAATCTGTTTCAATTAAAAGTTATTTCCAAGCCGCAAAAGAAATTGTATTCGAGACTTAGCAGCGTCAACAGTAGTAGTAGTAGTAGTAATAGATGCGAATTTAGGGGGTTGCGGAGGAGCGGAGGTTCTCTCCTTTCTTAAGGGCATGACCCCTTCACCAAACAAAGGGTCCCGCCTTTGTATTTTTTTATAACTTTCATTTTCGGCCGACCAAGCTAAAAATTTGAAAATTTTTATAATGTCGCCTTTGGCTCCAATATACACAATTTTTAAAGAGGACCGTGCGCCGAAAAAACGCTAGTCAAAATTATCCAAAAAAAATCCAAAAAAAAGTCTTTTTTATATTCTGGGAGCGCTCAGAAAATCAATTTAGTCGGCCGAAAAAATGTGGAAAAAAATTTAGATTTTTTTTAAAACCCCCCTCGAGAAATTCCTAGATCCGCCACTGGGTTTCTTTGTCATTTTGTTGATAGTGAGCGCCGTACATAATCGTTGTTTTTGAACATAATCTTTGTTTTATCAAAATTAAATGAAAAAATGAACTTGTTGACCTTTTCCCACATTTGACTTTTTGCATCAGCATACTATTACTCAGGGGCGGATCTAGGTTTTTCTCGAGTGAGGGGCTTTCAAAAAAATTGCTAAGTGTTTTCAACATTTTTTCGGCCAACCAAATTGATTTTCTGAGCGCTCCCAGAACACAATAAAGACACTTTTTGAAAATTTTGACGAGAGTTTTTTCGGCGCGCGGTTCCTTTTAAAAATAGTATATATTTGAGCCAAAGGCGATATCATAAAAACTTTTAGCTTGGTCGGCGGAAATTGAATGTCATAAAATAATACAAAGGCGGGACCCTTTGGTTGGTGAAGGGGCCAAATCCTTAAGAAAATTTTGACGACGTTTTTTTAGATCGACCAAATAGATTTTCGGAGCTCTCCTGAAGCACTAAAAAGACGCTGTTTTGGCCAAATTTTCTACAAAAAAAAAACAGGTCAAAAAAGCCATTTTGGGCACTTTTGGAAAATTTTGACAAAAAAATCATGTTTTTTTTGGCGCGCGCTCCCCCTCAAAGTTAGTATTTATTGGCGCCGAAGGCGCCTTCAGAACAATTTTGAGAACCGTCACCAAAAATGGATTTCTTTTGGGTCGGCAAAGGATCGAATCCCTGAGAGAAAGAAAACAAACGCTCCCCGCCCCTCCCCCCCCCCCCCACGAGCACAAACAGTTAATTTGCAAAAAAATCCTGTTTGGGCGGAGAGAGGGACGCAAAAGTAAATAAGTACAAACTACCATTGGCCCTATCAAAGAATAAAATTGTTTTTGTTTGCTATATCAGCTTAAAATTACCCAAATGTAGAGTGAAATTTGTAAATGTTTCATCAATATCGATTGAAAGGGCTTTAATATGAATTTTCGCTCGTTCCCATTTGGCGTTTATTTGTGGTACCTGAACCTATGATTTTGCGGGGGCAAAAAAATTATAAATAAAAAGCTAAGGATCATGTTAACTATTCCCCCCCCCCCCCGCTCCCTATAGTGTCTTGTAAAGAATCCCCCCCCCCCCTATAAAAACACATTTAATCTATGCTCAACTGGTTTGGTTTGTACTCAGAAATGTGTGTGTGTGTTCTGTCGCATTCCTATTGGTTGACGTTATTTCAATTCGCATTCCTATTGGTTGACGTTATTTCAATAAATTTCATCCAAACCTTGTTAACTATTTCCCACCCTATTGCCTTATTGCAATAGGGGGTGGGGGGGGGGGGGGGGAATAGTTAACATGATCCAAAGCTAAAACAGTCAAATACCATATATCTTCCTATTTCGTGGTCAGATCAGAATGACAAGACCCTGACCCAGAAGCTTATTTTCAAGTGTACCTGATTCATCTCTTGCTTAACATCCACTATTTCGTGGAACAGCAAGGTCTCGATTGCTTTCGCATCTCCTCTCGAGAACATCTTGATGAAGCAAGGCCAAAAACTATTTCTCACAGCATCATCTCTGGCCTCTTTGGAAGCGCCAGACATCTGCATTTCAGGTGACCACATGACAATCTAACAAACTAATGGCCAAAGTTTGAGGGAATTCGTTACGACAGAAGAACCAAATGACAGAAAGTCATAAAAATCAATCAGCCGTCAGTATTGAAAAAATTGAAAGAAAAAATCACACTTCAGTCAGAGTTTTACACAATTTAAAGTCATTTGACTGGCGAGAAAATTTCGGCCATTTGTGCCTTTATGCCGTAAGAGGAGGCGGAACAATAAGCTGAATGGTCCAATTGCAGAATGGGTCCATGAGCAGAAAAACAGAAAAATATTGACTTATATTGGTTTATGCGGGCTAATTGATAAAACAATTATTAGAATCGTCAAAAAATACCAAGAAAACGAATAATTTATGAGTGAATTGACTAATTTCTGTAAGGTTTTTGATTGAATTTTTTTTAATAAATTTTTGATTAAATTGCTCAAATTATGCATAAAATGTTCGTTGCTTTGCTATTATTGACATTTCTGATAATTATTTCACCGATTAGCTTATAGAAGTTGACGTTTTTCTATTTTTCTGCTCTTGGACCTATTCTGCTCTTAGAGTATTCTGCTTATTGACTGGCCATCGCCGTAAGAATAGCTTCTAACCCGTTTAAAACGGGGCGTTCAACAGTGCCGAAGTACAACAATGCCGGAGTGCAGCCTGTATTTAGACAACCGCGTATTCATACTCGTCAGTATTTAGACAAATACTGTATCAACCAATCAGAATCGAGAAAAGACATAAATAATCCAAAATAAATTATAATTATTTATTAATTTCTTCTTTGTCTCAATTCTGATTGGTTGAAACAGTATTTGTCTAAATACTGACGAGTCCGAATACGCGGTTGTCTAAATACTGCTTTGTAACCAACAGTGGCGAAAAAGGCGGGAAAATTTCAGAATACTTTTAACGCATTTTCTAAAGAGTGGGAAATTACTGACGCTAATTATCAACGAAATTGACTCCAATTTTGGCGCCAAAATGTCTGCAACTGCAAATTAAACATTTATTTTGGGGCCAAAAAGTCTAAAATGCAAATTTTCTCGCTCAAAATCTTTAGGTGTCACTTAAGATTATAAAGGTTGGCCGTTTAATTTTTAATTGCTGCACTTAATATGTTGAAACTTGGGGTCTTATGCACTTAACGGCCCAAATTCAAACTTTTTACATCGTAAGTTGGAAATTATGCGATCGAATTTGATTGGGTAATTTTAGCCAATCAAATTCAAGTTAGACGGTCAGGCATTCCGATCAACCTTTCCAGCAGATAAAAATATTAGCCAAATTTTCCGAAAAGATGGAACTTTGTAAAATAATCAAATTAATTTTGAGTTACTTGTGAAACCTTGCCCAGACATGGAAAACTTAATAAAATGGCTTGACAAAAAAATTCAAATTATTAATTCAGCTAATAACTTTATCTGCTTGAAACGGCAGAATATTAATTATTTCATTTGAAATGGCAGAAAATGTCGATGAAACTTGATTGGCTAATTAGCCAATCAAATTCAACTACAATAATTTCAGTTCAAGAGATGTAGAAATAATCATTTTGGGCCGTTTTGTGCATAAGACCCGAAACTTGTTCATATTTTCGGGAGTGCAGCCTGTATTTAGACAACCGCGTATTCATACTCGTCAGTATTTAGACAAACACTGTATCAACCAATCAGAATCGAGAAAAGACATAAATAATCCAAAATAAACAATAATTATTTATTAATTTCTTCTTTGTCTCGATTCTGATTGGTTGAAACAGTATTTGTCTAAAAAATGACGAGTCTGAATACGCGGATGTCTAAATACTGCTGTGTAACCATATTTTCAGCAATGTTGAACAAAGTTTTCTTTTTCGGCACTGTTGAACTATATTTTTTTCGGCACTGTTGTACTGCCCCTTTAAAACAAATGAGTGTCAATTAAACGGACTATCTGAGCTAAAGATATGCGATAGATTCAAATGCGTTAAAGGATTTACTTAAATAATTTTTTTCTTGAAGCATGATATATTTTTTTTGAGGAAAACAGTCTGTCAACACATTTGGTTGGGTTGCCGGATAGATTGATAGGTATATCAAAACACTTGAAAGGGTACATTGTCATGTAACCATTTCAGTTATAAGAACACAAGCTCCTTTAGCCTCGCCCCACTCAATCAGGGTGGGTATCTTCTGTGTATGAGGAATCCATGAAGCTGTGGTGATCTCAGAAACTAGACTAGATCGCATCGCAGCACTGTCTTTTAGGTCAAGCCAGGTCACCTGGTCAGGATTCAATTGGGTTAGAATAGTGCCACTTTTTTCACCTGAAAGCAATGCCTGAGCTTTAGTCAATATTGGGGGTATATATCTTGATGCCCCCTTAAATTAAGTTCACCTGTTATGTTTTCACCTCAAGATTTTAGTGTAATACAATTTAATTTAGTGAACCCCCCCCCCCCCATCAAATAAACGACAAATTTAACAATTTATTGGATAATTAGCCATTTTTGTCTGAAATTCTTAGTTCGTTCGAAAGGTATTGCTGAACTGAGCTCAAACTAAAAAAGATATTTCATCTGTAATTATTTTTTGTAAACTTTTTGGGATTAAAAAATTGCCAATTCAGCCAATTTGGGACAATTAACACGCAAACTATTTCGTACTATTAACGCGTAGGCGGCGATTCAGTGCTGATTTAAATTATCCAAATGAGTAAAATGCGTTTTTCTCAAATTGGGTTGGGTTGGCTTTAGGTGAAAAGTGATGAAGAGAAGACCAAAAACTTGCTTAGAATTTGAGCAGAATAAATATGGTGCAATTTTTTGCGAAATTCGAGCCTAAAGTTTCACCCCAAAACTGGAAAAAATTTTCTTTTTTCAGCCAAAAAAAAATGCCAAAAATACTTAGTCGATCATTAATATGACGATCTCAAATTGAACCATTGAGAAAAAGATAGTTTTTACTATATAAAATACCAATTTTTAAATTACAAAACAATTTTTAAACATTTTGTGCATTTTTTTTTGGAGATTATACCATGCTCAAAGTTTGTTGGGCTACATAAAAGGCTTACTTTAATAAAATCATGTCAGTATTCGATTAGGTAGTTTGGGCGTAAATTTTGACTGACTAAAAAATGATCCATTTTTGGGGTAAAATTTTAGGGCCGGTTTTCGAAAAAAAATTGCACCATATTTTTTCTGCTGAAATTCTTAAGCAAGTTTTCCCTTCATCATTATTTACTTAAAGTCAACCCAGTTTGAAAAAACGCGTTAGTTTATTCAACTTAATTTATTTCGATTTCACTCAAATTACAGCATTTTGATTGTTTTGTTTGAAAAGTCGCACGTTCAATTTGCGAAAAAGCGAAATTACCAAGTGAACTTTATCCTCCCTAACTCAATTTGGGAAAAAAAATTTCATATGGTCTTTTAATCCAACTATTATAATTCAATAACATTTGCACCAACGCAATAAATATAATTTTAGCAAGTAAGATTCACAACGAGCCAGCTCGTATCCAGGCCGAGATCCCTCCTCAATTTATAACCGCCTTATCGACCCTTTCCCCAAATTTTTTTGAAAATAAGAATCAATTATTAATTCATTATAACCGACTTTCTAAGACTTTTGTAGCCAGGCAATAATATTCTGATATAATTGATTATTTTCGATGGGACGGACGTTTTTCTAGTCAACCAGCCAATAGGTATAACCCGGAGAATGATTATTTAAGTTTACAAGAGCGCGTATAACCAGAGCCCATTAGGCTATGATTTACTTGCAAAAAGTGGCCTTGCAAATTGCAGTAAAATAGCTGATTGCTGGTCGCTATCACTATCAGAGCGCCAGGATGCCACTTCTTTATTCAACTTCAGAGCATATATCATGGTTCCCATGTAAGTTAATTTCACCAGGGTTTCCACCTCACGATTTACTTCAAAACAGTTATGCTTTCAGTAGGTTAATTTTTTTTAAATTCTCGTATTGAAACGAGACCCAGGTTAATCAGACTTCCATGTATAATCTATTAGTTTCAAGAAAAGAAGAAAATTTAAGATTTTTGAAGTTTATTTTTTTCAGACATTAGTTTCAAGAAAATCAAAAATTTTAAGATTTTTGAAGGTTATTTTTTTCAGTAATTTGAGGGCTTTTCAAGCTCTCCCAAAGCACTAACAAGTACCTGTTTTGGTCAAGTTTTCCGCACCGCGTTGAACAAAAAAAAATCAACAAAAAAAACTGCGTTTTTTTGGCGCGCGCTCCCCTCCTATAAGTTAGTTTACTTTGTTTGGCGCCTTTAGAAAAATTTTAGGGTCCGTCTGTCAAAATTGGATATCCCAAAATAGTACAAAGGGAGACCCTTTGGGTCGGCAGGGGGTCGAGTCTCTGAGAAGGGGGCGTCCGCCCCCGCTTCTAAATCCGCCCATGGAATAAAGCGCTATTTTTGTTCCACTCTCAAGTTTTCTTTAGAACATATTTTTTTAAACAATTCTGTTATATTAGATTTCCGTGCATAACTGGAATTAAACATTTTAGGAGCTTTGTTTTTTTACCAAATCATTGAAAAAGTCACCAGTTCCCCTTGTTCTCGCATGGTGTATGTTGGGAGCTAAAACTGCCTATAGGTTGGATGATTTTTTTGTTATCCAAAATTATACAAATCTGTGTATTTAGGAGAAATTTTCAATATTATTCCTTATTTTATTGTAAATTTTAATAGAAGTATTCAAAAAAAGTTAAGGGTTTTCATAACAAATTTTGATGAAAATGTTGACATATTACTGCTCTTTGTGGTTTTTTCAAACAAAGATCACATCTCTGAACGTTCAATTTTTGACTTACTTTTCGAGATACCTCGAGAACATAAAAACACTAAGTTTTTTATTGTAAACATATTTCACTTGCAGCCGATCAATTCAGGGCAATCAAGGAGCGCTATATAGTTGATTTTGTGTGGGTTAGGCGTTAGCAATAGCGAAACACTTGGGCTCAAAAACCATTCCAATTTGGACTGGGGCTAGCTGAATGCTACAAAAAAATTTTGGTTCTTAGAAGCGGATTTTAATCCTTTGTGCTGCACATCGAAAAAAAAAATTGAAATAATTTTGATTGATACCAAGTTAGTTGAATCATTCGCCTGCTAAACAAGATAAACTGTCGTTTCAATCAAAATATATTTGCATGGTTCAGAGGAAATTGCCGTCTAAGTTTACGGGAGTTTGCTTTCGAAATTTACTGGATTTTGCTCAGCATGATTTGCGACAAATCATAAGCATAGAAAGACAATTAAGCCGGCAGAAAATGAGTTGAAACCACTCTGCCAAAAAAATCTAAAATTAGATCTACCAAAATGTTCATACGTTTGTCTTAATTGAAATGAATTTTGAGGATAATGCAAAGAAAGGCGACTGCTAGCATAGAAACAAAAATTTTTGAGCGGTAAGTAAGTCGACAAAACTTAGACGGCCACGCCTTGAAGAAAAAAAATATGCAGAAGAAAAACTTTGAGCTTTGAGCATCAAAAAAAATTAAACCTTTCTCCCTCTTTTCGAAAGCTGGAAAAAAAACATGAATAATAAAAAAGAATTATAAAAATCGAAATTCTTAAAATTGGGACCACTGAGAAGCATCAATTTTGAATATAGCACGTATTTAAAATGCTAAATTTTAAACGCAAATCCGACCAAAATTATTGTTCCGACTTTCGAGGAAAACGGAATATTTATGCTCGGTGTGATTTTTTATTCAGTCGAATTTCGCCGATCGAAATAAAAGTTTTCAAAATTTTTTTAATAACCTTATTGAAGATATTGACTTTTTGATTTGAAATCTTTGAAGATATTCTACCTCTGATTATTTTTTGTAAAGTTCGGGGGGTTTGAAAATTGCTAAATTGGCCATGTTCTGGAATAAATTATGCGCTCTTTTAAGAGTTTTTTCATAATGGTGAGAGCGTAACGCGAATTATTTATGCGTGGTGAATTATCCCGGCACAACAAAATTGTTCCAAATTGAATTGAGGCTAGATATTTGGTCGTATTAATTTCGTACGACTCAAAATTTTACGCTTTGATATTGTCCAAAATTTATAGGTTTTCAATATTTTCTTTTCACAAATTTATTCGATATGAATACAGGAACAGTCGGAACATTCAGGGCTTTGCTCTGGTCTACAAGTAGTTTTGTTTGATCTAAAATAGCTTATGTTGACATCGGAAATCAACTTTCCACTCATTTCAGAGCGTAAAAGCTGTGTTAGAAATTTTTTTTAAGTTAAAAGCACCGTTTTTTTTAAAACCAATTTAGGCGATCAGGCAATAAGCGCGCAATTTTGGCATGAGGTAAAATTTTTCCTAAAGTCCACGCAGACTATGCTTCTCACAAGATTAATAAATAAAACTGAAACCTGCAGTAGAATCATTCGCCTGCTGATCCTCAAGAGGAAAATATTTCTTCAATTTGACAGGAGCTGCTCCCATTCCTCGCACCACTAACAAATGAGTCTTTTCAGTCTCCTCACTCTCCAAATGATGCAGGAACTTCAAATTATCTCCGTAAATGATATAAATTGAATAAGAGAACTCCGAAATTTCATCTCCGGAATCGAGTCCACTTTGGGAGCCTCGAGTTGAGTCACTTCTACGAAAGCGGGGCTTTTTGAATTTCTCTTCGCCGGCTTTTCTCGTGACTTTTTCAGTGATGACGGCTTCATTGAGACACTTCAATAACATACCTAGCCAAAGCAGGCATGCTTGATGTGCAAGGCTATGATTTTGTTAGCCATTTTGAAAGAACAAACTTTTAGAGACTGGTTTTAGTAAATATGCCTTCAAAACAAAAAATAATCGTTTTCTGTGCCAGTTCAGAAAGTTGCGACGCTCTACCTTGATGCACACCAAAGGCGATATCTTTCAATGTTTTCAAAAATAACTTTTTGCGTTATCCGCTCTCTGAATTTAAGAATCAAAACTTGGGGCTGTTCTAAGGTTACAGAATGTAGTTACAACCTCAAATATCACTGTTAGAACCTCGAATAACTTCTAGTTAAACTCTAAGTGATTAACCTGTCTTCTAGTGAGTAATAATACATTCTCTGCATAAAGCGTCACTTGGTAGGAATTCATAATACGATATTGACTTTTTGTCTGACCAGCTTCTCCCATTTTCTAGAATCACAATATGCGCCAGACAAAGACAAAAACTTAGAATAGTTGCTCAAAAAGCGAACAGTTTAGCAAGTTTCTCAAAACTTGAAAACAAGACTTTGTTTTTAGTATAAGGATTTGCGGAGTTTTGTAGAGCTCAGCAAACTAAGAAACTAAAACGGCCAAATAAAAAGCAGATCGACAAAATCCTCCTTCCTCCCCTCCCGCTAATGTCTTAGTTGCGCGCGTATACGGTTTGAGTTTTTTTTTAGCTTCAAGAGGGTATCATACTTAATCACTCACCCTTTTCATCATTCGGCAACAGGCTGCCTCGGCGAGACAGTTCATCAAAATTAGACCCATGTATAACTTCGAACACACAGTTTGGCCGCTTAATCGTCAGTCGGAACAAGTCAAGAACACGCTGTCTACAAGGCAAAGGTAATGTTCTGTTGCATTCGAACAGTTTAATGAGTAATGGTTTTTCAAGTTGACTTGAAACTTCGGGGTTGCAAAAATCTGCCTCGCAATATTGAACACTCATTGAACCATAAGTACAAAACGAGCTTCTTTTGTAAGCAAGTGGTCAACTGTAATCTTTGTTTAGCTTGAGTTATAAAAAAACATCATCTAGCAAACATTAGTTAAATGACAAAAACAAATTGTGAATCCAATTACGAACTTGAGCTCATAAGTTAGACTCGCTGAATATTGATAACATTTGATTAAGGCGTACTCAAATATCCTAAAAAGTTTTTGAGACAATTCCGGTTCTCGTTACCACGATAGCTCACAACAGAATCAATTAAGGTAGCCGGTTGCTGTGCATGTAGCACAGAGTTTTCCCATCACCATGATTTATGTTACGTAATTCAAAATTAATGGAAACTTGAAGAAAAAAATTTTTTTGGTAAATTTGTTGTTTTAACCCTAGGAGCATTCCTCGAGGTAGTCAAAAACAAGAAAAAAAATATACCCTACGCCATAATTTTTTTTACGCCGTAGAACAACCTTATGCCATAGAACACCAACTAGAAAAAAGAAAACTTTCTCAAAAGCAAAAACGCGCGACGAAAACTAGCCAAAGATGACAGTTCTCTTTGATAAATCTAGCTGTGTTTTGCATCCCCGTTAACTATTCATGTCGAGTCATTCGCTAAGCCATAGCCACAATGCGTTAAAATTTGTAGTCAAGGTCCCATTTTTTGAGATTTCACATTATCTCGTTGGTGTTCCGACCATTGAAAATGAGGACGAACTTTGTATACGGTGTTTGAATTCTTATTTTCCACAAAAAACCCGGTACCACAAATAATCATTGGATTGGGTCGAGTTATACATCATATTAAAAACCTTTCAGTCGTGATTCAAACGAAATTAAATCTTTTTAAAAAATTTTCTCGGAGTTGAGAAAATATGGTTGGAAATTTTAGCGATTTAGTCTTATTTCGAGCGAGTAGCGCCATTGAGTAACGTTCATTATAAAAAAAACTGATCTTTAGGTTCAGATACATTAAATTTTCTTAGCGGAAAACTTCATTTCAAAATTTTTTAAGCGCCTCCTTGGCAATAAAAACTTCTCAAAAGACAAAAAAAGTTGACTTACTTTTCGAGACATCTCGAGAACATAAAAACACTAAGTTTTTTATTGTAAACATATTTCACTTGCAGCCGATCAATTCAGGGCAATCAAGGAGCGCTATATAGTTGATTTTGTGTGGGTTAGGCGTTAGCAATAGCGAAACACTAGGGCTCAAAACCCATTCCAATTTGGACTGGGGCTAGCTGATTGCTACAAAAAAATTTTGGTTCTTAGAAGCGGATTTTAATCCTTTGTGCTGCAAGTAGTATGCATATAGTGCGTTAGGATCGGGGGGGGGGGTTGTCATACATGGATGACCATTAGGTATAAATCATAATGGTCACCATGTATTAAATGATCAGCAATGGTCACCATGTAAAAATCCTAATTGTCACCATGTACAATTTTATACCTAATGGTCACTATGTAATAATCCTAATTGTCACCATGTTTAATTTTATACCTAATAGTCCTCATGTAAAACTTCGGTATAATATTGAGTATTCCCACTGAACGTTGTGGAAACGGGAATGGAATTAATTTTGATCGGTGCATGTTTTCGCTTCTAAAGTTTGGGGGTATTGGTTTGTTTACACGTAAAATGACGTTAAATACCTATTATATGCGACCAAACCATATGGTATATAAGAAAGCACACGATTTTGAAAGCGTAGCTTAACTGTTGGCTGCGGTGAACGATTTCCTTCAAAATTGCATGTTTTATTGCTGAATCTCGAAGAAAGCAAAATTCGTCAAGTGCGGCGGCCACCACCTCTATTTAGGCAAAAATTAATAATCAATTTGACCAAAAAAAGAATGAAAAATTTCGTTCAGCCAAATGAAGGTAAAAACAAAGAAAAATTACGAAACACTGAAAAATGTAAAATAATGAAATTGGCTTGAAAATTTCGACACTACCATTTTCCGTGTCTACAGGAGACTGAAAAAACGTCTAAAATCTATGACAAAAGCTTTGACTTTATAGAAAGGTTGAAAGAGCTAATAAGTTGAAGTGGGTAAAGATCTTGAAAAACGAGAACACTGATGAAAGCCAAAAGTGCCGATTAATTTTGCTGCAGCCATTTCTAAGACTTGCGTATATCACTTTTTATAATAAAAAGAAAACAATTTTCGGGGCTTCTAGAAAACGTTTAGTATTTCCTATTAACTTTTTTGTGCTAACAGAAATTTTGAAAGTATTCATCAAAGCAGACCTAGAAACTGGGGGAAAACTGTTATTTGCGTGCCAATATATAGACAGAACAGAGTAACCATCGAATAAAGCAGGTGAAAACTTATTTGCGACTTTTAAGGAAAGCAGTTATTCAAATTAGAGCAAATTCAATCGGAAAAGACTGAACAGAAACTAAGACAAGTTATGGATACAAACTCAAACCTTGATATGAGTTCGGAGTTATAATTTGAGCATCCCAAAGTTTTGATTTTTCCATAATTTTTAATTTGATACTACAATCTAGTCAACTGTTCTCAGTATCTTCTAATTAGGTTCAAACTGGTTTTTGCAAGAGCTTTCTATTCAAAATTTTGAAGCGCTATCAGTTATTATCATTGATTAACCCTCTGTTCAACAAATTAAATTTCGAGTTTTTTAATAATAACTTGATCTTTTGAATGTTTCCATGATTACGCTATTGTCTCTCAAAATACGGTGGCTTTTTGACCAAAATATTTGATTATTCATCTGCAACTAATTGTGTTATCAAGAATTCAACCTTTCTTTCAATATATCTTTGAGGTGATCACTACTAGCAGTATCAAAACAGTTCGCAACATGATTTTTCTTCGCATTTTTGCATCGATATTTGTCTTCTCTATTAACAAAACATGTCTTCGAAAACCGGTTAGTTGTTTGAATTTTTAAGATAAAAAATCAAGCCTTATCATCAACACTCTACCTGAATCTTCGGATTCCGTCAGGATGATAGCTGTTTCACACTAAACAACGCTTTCACACCAATTTGGCTACAGCACTTTCCGAAAACTTGTAAGTGCCATTTTGTAGTTTCAATGCATTTCGATAAACGTCAATTATGTTGTGTTATCTTACGCTAGAACGACTAACAAAGACATGTTTAATTTGACAATAAAAAGTTTTTTAGACAGTTTTACCTTGAGGAATTAAAATTTTCAGCCTCAATGCAGAAAGACTTGCTATTCATTTCAAAGAAAAAAGGCGTAAGCATTTTGAGCTATTTCATAAAAAGCTCTATCGACTAAATAAATCTTGAATTTTAAAAAAGTGGTACTGACTGTTTATCTGATTACACAATTGCTTCACTTCTAAGGGTTTATAACTTTGATTCAAAATAATGATTTTTCAAATGAAAACCATTAAAAATTTGTGGTTTTTAGAGATTGATCAACCATCCTTCAAATATACAGTACCTGTCACTGAGACTTTGCTCGCTTACCGTCTTCAGCTCTACAAGCCGCATGTCTGCACGATCAAGGATTTTCCTCAATAACAATAAATTTTTTCTAATAAGTTTCTTATCGTAATTTTTACCTCTATGAGCAACAGTTCATCAAACACTTTGGACTCCATGCTGTCTCCAATTGGACTTGTTGTTTGATGCTTCCATTGACAAAATTTTGTGAAAACTTGAAAACTGATCTTTCTTGTTACAATTTTGAAACATGTTTCATAATAATTGACTGCAGATAAATTGAAATTATCAATGCAACATAGGCAACAAAGTGAAATGTTCATAATGAGGATACCTGGAAGATCAAATATTTCGCGGAAAACTTTTTTTAAAAAATTATCAAATTATTTTGCAAATCAAGAAAATGAAAAAAACTGTCATTATAGTGTCATATTGATTATTGTAGAATTTTCGAGAAACCTAAGAAGAAAGATAAGAAAGATTTGGATTGAGTTACATA